TATTGATGCATTGCTCAGTAGTGTCATAATAGAAATGTTATGATAGGCTGAGCTCATTGGAAACAAAATGGACAGTCTGCAAACAAATTGGGGCAGTTAATTATTTATTTTCTTAAATAACTTCCAATTTAAGTGGATTGCTCCCAGCAGTGACAAACCTGTAACATCACACTCGTTCAGTGTGGATAACCTGCACGTTTCTGCACATGGTGGCAGAAAAATGGAGACCCCCTCAGCTTATTTACGGCTAATTAATGAGGAAGATGTAATGGAGTCCGAACTTTCTCCTCCAAATCACCATTTTAGGCGAACCGCTGTATTCTCCTCTGACATCATCATTTCGATGCGTTTTGAAAGCGATGGCTATTGCGCTGCAATTAACATCTGCTCCTACGTGATTAGCTGGATTAATTAGTTGCAAAAGGCCCAGCTAGCATCCTGGAAAAAACGAGAGAAAAAAAAATCACCGCTCCCTCCCCGTTCAATGAAACCTTTTAAAATGCTAATTTTTACACCATCATGTTAATCAAACGTGGAGGTGCACCACTTATAGCGTGTCTAAAACGTTTTCTTGATGTGTATTATCAGTGCATATTAGCACATTAATGCAATCGCTGTGGAAAATCTCGCTAACGCAGCTATCCCCCCTTTTTTTCTTTGCACAGCATGACCACTGCACAGGACAGGGGGACCCTGCATACCAGCTAGCAACATTCATCGGCCTGGAAAATACGAGTAATTTTTGCACAGCTGGCAACACAGTTGTAACCTCACGTCTCTTGAAATGTCAGACTTTGCACACAATAATGTCATATGTACACATCGCTGAGAGAATGGATAAAAAAAAATCCCCGAGAGCCTTTCCTCCCCCCACCCCATCTTGAAATGCGAGGCAGCTAGCAGGGATGCTAGCACCTTAGCTACATTGTTGTAGCAAACGCGCATCCTCGGCCAGGAAGCCAGAGGGGCTGCAGGCTTCCCGGGATGTGCGGCAGGGAGAAAGGGGGTGCTAACCTGGCAGAACTCCTGGCAGAAAATCAGGGAGGCTTCAAGCGAAGGCTGCGAGCTCTCCCTCAGAGCCGTGGTCAAACCGTGGAAGCGCTCGCGGAGCTCGTCGGTGGCTTTCCGTGTATCATATTCCTTTTCTGTCTCCCCCTCCGCCATCTTCACAACAATCACGACCGCGTACGCACAGATGTTACGCTGCCAGACTGGCACACGCACGCGCACGCAAAGAGAAGGGGGGAAGGGAGAGAGCTCACAAATGTGCTGCTCCCCCCCTCCTAAAATTCAACAAAGGGGACATTTCAACTGCAGGAACCGCGGACAAAACAAGAGTTCTGGGGGGAAGAAATTCACCTCCAAAAAAAAAGGCCTTTTGTAGGAAGATAGTCCTTTTCAGACCACCCTAACCCCCCAGGGTGGGGTTTTAAAAGTATGAGGCCTTAGATTGTTGGTAGAGTATGATAGTACTTTATTTCCCCTCTTCTCTCAGTCAGGTTAATTAGAATAGGCTTTTTATTTTATTTTTTACTGAAGGCTTCTTTAGTTCTGAAAACTAGATAATCAGACAGAACTAAAAAACCTAAAGATAATGACACATTTGTTATGAAAGGTTAAGTGGAACCATTTCTGAAGGGTAAAGTGTGTCGCTAACTATTACAATTAATAGGAAACTAAATTGGACTGTGATCGAAAAATGAAAAAAATCACAGAAGCGGACACACTCCACATGCAACCTTGCACCCTGCAGGTCCTCAAATGTCTGTTTCTTATACTGTGCTAGAAAGAAAGCACAGCAAATGTTTAAATTTTTTAAATTAGAACCTGTAGAGGGTGCTAATCAAGCATCTAGGTATGTTGTGTGATACCCACCCCTACTTCCCGTAGCCTTGACTATATTTAACAAAATCTGCAGGAATAGTTGTTTGCAGGCGCAGCTGAAGATAAAGTAGTCTACCAGCTGAGCAAGCACAAAAATGGGACAAAATTTGAGGTTTGTTTCACAGCAATTATAGTAAGCGTGTCCCCACATGGGCCACCTGTATATGTCATCAAATTCTGCAAAAGCTAACAGCCATTTAAAGATCTGTTAAATCAGGTGAATTTCCAAAACTTGCAGGAGTTCAATTAACTTTGCAGGAATCTGTAAAAATAGATTGTGTTAAGCTGCGTATGGCAGCAGAGAGACAAAAGTGAAAGCTTCCGTCAGCTAAACAAAGCGGCGTTTTAGATGTTGGGTTGTTTTACGACATTTACATTCCATGGCACACACTAATAACCACAATCCCCATTGACTCGAGTGTCAAAGAATGAAGACACGCCGCCTGAGTGCTCAGAACCGGCATTACGAGGGCCTGGCGTGCCAACTTTGTCCAATAAAATATGTAAACAATTACACATTTTCCATGAATGGAGAAATTCTGCTTCAGTGTGAAACAGTCAGGTGAACATTTTAGCGGCTGTAAATCACGTCAGTCGAGTTAAACAATTCAATTCAGTTTACTTACATTGCGCCAAGTCACAACAAACGTCTCAGGGCACTGTACACAAAAACAAATCTGAAGAAGCCAGCAGATTGTGTTGAAGCTTGAGTCAACAAGTTTGAATGCCGATAAGAACTTTAACGTTTTACAAAATGAAATAGTGTTTCAGATTTGTGTAGCAATACGGGACACGGTAAATTCAAAATAACAAACCACAAAACAAATGGACTTCTATTCTGTAGTTGAAGCTAGTTTGTTCCCAGCTGTTTGTGGAGTACCAAATGAGATTCTCTCTTACGTAAACTTGGATTAACTTGAATTTTGACTCAGGTATTGTTCATCAGTTTGATTGGTGATGTTCCCTGCCAAGGGGTTCAGGGCTTTCTTTTCCACTTTCTCCATGTAGAGATTGGCCACAATTGGTGAAACTGCATGTCCCATGGCACAACTTGTGCTTTTACCTCTTGAATTGGTCAACAACTGAGCAAACACTCCTTTAACTGGGCCACAGATTTTGGATAGTTTAATGGATAAAAAAGGATATTAAATGTAAAATTGCCCACATAATTTTGTTTTAAAAGGGTCAGATACAGGGTTCTGTTTGTAAAAGGTGTATTTAAAATAAATGGTGGAAAGCGAGAGTTCCAGCGAGGGACAGATCTGGTTTCCATTGCTTCTAATGTAGACAAGCGAAAAGTGAAGCCGTTGAACTTGGTTTGCAAAATTTATGGATTTTTCTTTGTGATGTGGCGTTTCCAACAAGATGAGCTTATTTACCAGTAACATGTTTTGTAAAATGTCACTGAGTTTATGCTACAAACGGTGGATCTGAGTGGTGTTCTCACTGTGTATTGTACACAAACTTTGGTTAAAATTCTTAATCACACAAATGATCACATTCTGCATACAAGCTCCAGCTCCCATATCATTGTCATCTTTAAACGATGGCTATTCCTGATCACAATATGAGGCACAATGTACTGCAAGGAGAACCGAACCGCCACCTAAAGCTGACCTTTCAGTCAACTTTTAGATAAACCAAACTTCCTGTCACCTGTCGTCTACACTGAAATACAGTGAAATACTCTCATGTTTCCTGTTCCTCAAAGGTTTCATATTGTGCGTCACTGCTCCTTCCCAATCAGCCCCAATCAGTGTGACATAACCCCTCAATGAGGCAGAGGTTCAATTGATTTTGTTTTACTCTTTRAAGGTCACCATGTTGTTTCTTGAATCGTTATCGCAGCTCGCCTTTACCTGGCCTTTTAAAACAAAGTTATGTAGGCTGTTTCACATTTATTACCATTTTTWTTTGATTAACTTTCCAAAGTTCATCTATCTGAGGTAAAAGCATGAGTGTTTTATGTAGCCTGGCCCTCTAATTGCTTATTTTCTTCACTGTCTTACATTTCATATTACATTTCTGTTAATTGGTTATGTAAAGCCTTTTGACTTCATATAAGCTTTAGATTATTAGGAGTTGAATACATAACAAATTATAATGAATAAATTTTTTAATAGTAAATAACTCACTCGGGAATCAGCACACTCCGACAAATGGTTTCAATATAAGCCACTATAAATATGTAACCTCTTGGTGCACATTTTAATTACACAGTTATTTWAGTACATTTATTCACACCAACATGAAAGCTCATCACAAACACTGAATCTCTACCCAAAAAATACTACCAGCCAACGCCAAAAGCAGGTTTTAGAATGGAGGGAACGCGTACGCTTTGAAAGAAACACGAGGTGATGCCAAAGTTGAGCGCGGCAGGGAGCCGTCAAGTCTCTCATATTTTGTGGAAATAGCAGGTGCTGCAGTGGCATTCTGTGTGATTCCTCAGCGTTATGTCACCAAACTTTATCTGCAAGAGGAACAGAAGAAAGTCATGTAYCATATTTATACTGCATCCTTTTTTTATATGGAAAACAGGGTGACACAAAGTTCAAATTGTAGCACTTTTTAAAATAAAGTAATYTGTGTGTACCGGTACCTAAATGTAGTTTAGACCAGGAGTTCTCAAGCCATTTGGGTCTGGGGACCGTTTACAAGGGCAAAACAAATTCCAGGGACTCCCTCATAAACCCCATGCTGTTTAAAAAGATAATTTGTTGTCATTTCAACCCCTAAACGCCATGTGAATATATATATTTTTATCAAGTTTATTGTGTTTGTTTTATTAGTTCATTGTTCTCTGTGCATCTTTGAAAATAAAAACCAAATTAACATTTTAGTAAAAATTTTTGAGGACCCCCAAAATACCTCTCACGGACCCCTGGGAGTCCATGGACCCCAGTTTGAGAACCTCTGGTTTAGACTGTCTGAAAGAAGGCATGGCTTTTATGAGAGGAACAAGTTTTTGTCAAAATGTTAGCTCAAGTCAAGCTGAAATAAACAAATGATTAAAATAAAAAGTAAATCACCTTGTGGG